TGATATCTGTCCTTTCTGTGGAGTTCTTTTGTTTTATGAAATAGGTACACTGACATTTGGTGCATATACATTTAGACTTCTTATCTCTTCCTGGTGAATCATTCCCTTTGTCAACCTACAATGATCTTCTTTGTTTCTCCTACATGGTTTTGGTTTCAAGCCTGCTTTGTCAAAAATTAGAATAATTGCTGCCTGTTTTCAGGCTCTGCTTTCCAGGAGTTCCAACCTTTAACTTTCATTTTTTGTGGATAGGTGTGTGTGTGGGTGTGTGTGTGGGGTTGTGTGGCTGAGGAATGTCTCCTGGAGGCAGCATAGTTTTGTCTTTTGATCTAATCTACCATTCTGTGTCTTTTGGGGTGAAGAGTTAAGACCACTTATCCTGAATGTTATTGAATTGTGTGGTTGGGTTTGTTTTGTTTTTTTTTTTCTGTGCTGATTCCATTATTTTTTTCTCTCCTTGTTTATTCTCCTTATTAGGCATATCCTTCCTTTGGGGTTCTTTGGTGGTATTGGCCCCGATGTCTTTGTGTGGTATTTTGTTAAGTACTTTGTACAGTGCTGGTTCGGTGGTAACCAATTTCTATAGGTTTGCTGTTGAATACTGTACAGATATCTTGTCCTCCTCCTCTTAATGAACATTTTACTGTAGTTTACTACTTCACAAAAGCTGACCCTGATGGTTTTGTCATGTTCTAATGGATTAATATAGAATATTTGAATGAGGAATGTAGTTATAAGGAGAATTGCTTGTTGTCTATTCATGTATAACATTTCAGTAAGACTCCAAATCATTTTATTGTAAACCCCATATATTTCATCCTTACATTTTGTTGGACCACCTTAAAAGAACAGACTTTCAAATCAATACCTCCCTCTATTTCTTGTCTCTTTGATCTTCCTGTGGCTAATTGTCTCTGCCCATTCAGAGGGAATATTATTTACCATAATTTTCAAAACATGCTGAAGACATAATCATTCAAATAATTCTAAGTAGTATCATGGTTTTCTGCTCCTTTATTTATCCTTACAATTTTTAAATTCGTCTTACACTTTTTAA